AATATTAGAGCCTAACACAGAGCGGAGCGGCGTGTTAGCAGCGCAGAACGCGCACTGGCGCCTACAAACCTAACGGGATACTTCACGCATTGCGCAACGCGTGAAGTATCCTGTTAGGTTTGTAGGCGCCTATGCGCGTGTCACGCTGGTTGCCTGCCGCGCCGCAACGCTTTAAGCAACAATTTCGCGTCAGAGGCGTTGCACAGTATCCTACAAGATTGAAGGCGCACGAAATAACTAGTTAAAGAGGACTTTCATTTGACAGCATCTGTTACTGAAAAATGTTTAATTTAGTATTGGAGCGTTTCCTCGGCTCCCGCTTCCTGGTTTTTGACAGTAAAAACAAATTGAGTGTATTCAAGGATCGTCCTTCAAAAAATTGTCGATAGGGCTGAATTTCCTGTTTTAGGCAACTAATTTTCTGCAAACTTGATATTTAAAGAAACACCGAGGGACCCTGTGCATTAATGTTTGGAACATGTGAGCTCATACTCAGTTTTTCTTTTATATGTTTGAGTAGTACGACGCTCCACTTGGCTGGCGGGGACCGGCATGGCTGGACTGGAGAGGATTCAAACATGCCAGGTATTTTTACAACAAATACTGGAGGGGAAGTTGGGACCAGGTATGTATACATTGAATCTTTGGAAAATTTTGAAGATGCATTTGTTAATGAAGGTGGTTTAATTTGGTAAAACATGTGGCACACAAGTCCAAAACATGCTAACTGCCATCAGGTGTTTCTGAGAGTGGGATGAGGATTAGGCAGCTACCTAAGTGTTGGAACTGCTTCCAACTTTGTGGACATGATATAAGTATTTGTATTTAATTTGTATTCAAATTTGTCACGCAGACAAAGATTTCAAAAATCAACAATCAGGCCACAGCTCCTCTAATTTAACAGGAATCCATTGAAGTGAGAATGCCCATTATTTTCGTCATGAAAATTAGACTAACTTTTAGAAAAATCTCCTTTTAAAAGTTCAATGAACTGGAAGCATTCAGGCTTTCTCATAGTCAGGAACAATATGCACATTCTTGGCAATACCTAATGGTGCCTACCAGGTTTTGAATTTCCACTCTTCAAATTTCATTAATTACTGAGTGATTTTTTAAGGGCATATACTGATCAAAAACTAGAAGAAGACGAAAAAAGAAAAAAAAAAACAAATGACCAACCCTCCTCCCTACTTTGATAGCCAATCCGCTGCAGATTTACAGAATATTATTATGTTTAGACATGTACTAAAAGATAACTGGAATCAGGTGATCCCAGAAAATAATTTTTTTCTCAAGTTGATTTCATAACCTAGCCCTTGAAGGGACTATCACCGAAAAAATGGACTTTATTTTTCTGTATAATTTTTCTCGGGCCCTCAGCATCCGATTTACTTTTTTATTTTTAATTTAGTCAAAATAATCTCCTCCATACAATCAAATAATTTATTTTTAATTCCTCTTGGATTTTTTTTAAGTTTTAAGATTTAGAATGAGGAAAAAGAAAAAGAAAAATTTAGAATCAAACTCATACAAGTTCGGAATTTTAAAGTTGGAGAAAACTATTTTTAGGTGTATTCTGAATATTTTCCCACGAAAAAAAGAGGAATTTGGATTATTAGAGCCTAAGAGAAATGGTTTAGAGACTAGCTGCATATCTTCAGGGTGAGCTCCTTCGAGGGCCAGGTATGCAATGCAACCCGCTTGAAAAAATTGCGGTCATAGCCTCCAGAGAGTGTCTAACAACACCTAAAGTTTCAGCTCTCAATGTATGTAAATGAAAAAATTTCAATTTGGCTCAGACTACCCCCTCACTCCACAGTATCAGATCTTCCCCCTTCTTTCGGCTACAGATGCACAGGATGTGGCTGTGGAACCCTTCAATGGAGTCCCGGTTGCGGAAGATGATTCCAGTGCTGGCAGGAAAGATGATCGACCCTTGTCTCCTGGGCCCGACCAACGACATCGGCGAAGGAGCTAAAACCCGCGGCAACTTCATCTGGGACTCGAACAACAGTCTGTGCGCCATCTACTGCCGCTTCCAGCGAGCCATCAACTTCCTTTACGTGGAGTCCCACTCCCTCCTCTGCATCGGCGTCGGAGCTACCCAGATCCAGGGACGCTGCTTAGGGGACCAGTGCCTTTGCTTCAAGGGGAACAAATTATCACAGGACATTAAGGTCGGCGACTTCGTCAATCTCCGATTCTGCATAAATAGCTTCAACTTGAAACGATATAACGAGACTCATACTATGGACTAACTGTAAATTTGTAATTGAGTAGATCGTGGATAGGAAAGATGGGAGAGGATGATAAAGACGGAGAGGGGGGAGGGAGGACGACGTAGCTATACCATTGTCGGAAAATAAATTGCATGGTTTCCAACTTGTAGCCATCGAAAAAGATAAAAAAAACCAAGACCAATTTACACAGGTCAGTCATTCCCGAGGACGAGTTTTGGTACTCTACTACGCAGTGACGTAGTATTGAGTGCCTGCAATGTATTTCTTATGGGAGCACCCATGGTAGCATGGAGCATTGAGTGCCGCCGAGTTAGGGCCGGGCGGGGAAGAGGGGATATCAAAAATATGCGCAATGACTGACCTGTGTGGATTGGTCTTGAAAAAAACTGTATTCATTCATTTTTAAGTTCGATATACAAAATATAATAAATATTAAGAGCATAATGTTGTTCTGGTAACCAACATATCGACGGTAAAACTGCAAAAACGCGCATATTTTGATTACGGCTTTTCAAAATCGCCGTTTCTACTTTGTTTTTCGAAAGGAAGCTTAGCATGGATTCACATTACCTCAAATATTCTCCATACAAAGGAAAAAAATATCCCAAATCGTCAAAAATTAATGTTGAGCAGTTTTCAGTCCAAAAACACTAGGTATGACAGGAAGTCTATAACGTCGCAAACCATGGTACCAGGTGCTTATTACGTGCGCGTTTCTGCTGTTCATCGTCCACATGCCCTTTAGAATCCTGGGATACACAACAGGTTTGAATGAGAAGAGCGCAGTTTCCACTTTTTTATCAAACAAACAAAAAAAGGAGGTTGAAATGCTTTTTCTTTTTTAGCAAAAAACTTATGAACGAGGTGTGAGCAAGTAAAAATACAGACGGGAAAAAATACTTGGGTCTCACTTTTTCGAGCATACCTATGCGTGTTGATTTTTATCTTATTTTCGAGTGATGTTGATGCTTATCCTCCCTGTTTTAGGTGCGAAAATATGTAATGATTAAAATGATGAATTGTATTGAATTAAAATGTGAAATGGTAAATGTTCATTGAGAATGGCAATTCTGTGGATCGACAAGATTCAATGAATAATTGAATGTTATTTACGCTAAAAGGAACGGTGTGCAAATTCTTAGATTAAAGCTGCATAATAGCGCATCGGAAAACATAATTTGTTTTCAAAACTTTTTACTTTGGTTTGTAAGGAAACAATTTGTAAGATTAAATCAAAAATATTTTAGAGAACAACTTGAGCATTTTTAAGTTTGGAAACAAACATTAGATGTTACATTTATTTTTATTTTCAGGATAGAAAATACAGGAATTTAAAAAAAAAACAGCTTTTAAACGACCCATATTGAACAACAATCATAAATTGGAATGAAATATTTATTAATTATTTTCACACACATCAAACAGGCTTTTACAAGACTTTTTGCACTTTTTTTTCAAAATAATTAAAAAATGACTCACAAACTTAGATCTTTTACTAACCTAACTTATAAAGTGATTAAATAATTAATTTAAACCGTCTTGAAAACTTACCAATGTCTCTGTTATTTATCTCTTCATTCATTATGATATTTATATTTGTTTCCCGTTTAATAAAAACATCTCTATATTTTACTACTTTTAGAGATATTTAAAAGCATATTTCGAGTATGTTTTTGCTATTACCTCTTAGTACATAAAGTTAACATGCTGCGTGGTTACTTGGACCTAGGAAACTAACAACCCTCATTCAAGTCTTATGGACCCGCGATAAATCCGTCACTTACTGCATTCTCTACACGATAAATCCGTCGCTTAGTGCATTCTCTATTTGTTCCATTTCCTCTGGAGCTAAAGCATTGATACAGTCATGCATTTTGTACGAGTATCCGGGCATTGGAAGGTTGTATGATGGACTAGTTTTGAAGAAGAAGGAGCATTTCCATCCGGCCGTGCCCCAATTTTGACACCAGCCTAGGAACACGTGTTCACACGGACCGCGCCAATTTCGACTGATTTTCTGAAATTCCTTGACCGCAAGTGCGCATTGATTCCCGGCTTTCTTCCTGGATTCCTTATCCCCTTCGTTGCATTTTCTATCATTTTGAGCAGCCATGTTGAGCAGATTTGTCTTCAGTGTGTAAAAGTCTCTCGACTGAAAATGAAATGCACAAGAAACATCAAAATTAGTTAAAGTGGGTCAAAGTTCTTGCCAGTGCAGAGTGGAGAACGCACAAAATGGAGCATCCCAAGTAGCAGTGATCGCGCAAAGTTGCGATTTGATCGAGAAATGTACCGCGATGACGTCATTGACGTCAATTTATTGCAATGTTATCGGTTGAAAAATCGCGATTCCATCGCATAAATTTTTAATAAAATCGCGATTTTATCGACGGCGATATTGCAATATTATCGATAAAAAATCGCGAAAAATTGAAATAAAATTTCGATTTTATCGAATACAATTGTATTGAGAGAAAATAGCGACAAGATCGAGGATAATCGCTTATGTGATGATCCTATCGATTTTATCGCCAAAATATCATAAAAAAATCGCAACTCAATTTCAAGATATCGCGATTTTTCCGTTGAAAAATGCTACTCGGGATGCCTGCATTATAAAGATTTTTTAAAAGAGTCTATTGAAAATAAATGAATTTCCGGTATGAGTTTTTACTATGAATCCTGCCGCCCCTACGATGGTTGCTGGGGGAAAAATTACATATCATGAGGGGGGGGGGCTCAGGAGCGTATCCTGGAATATGCGTTTAAAAAAAATGAGCAAAAGAAAAGAATAAATAAATGATTATTGATAAACGTGAGCTACTAAAGAGGGGGGGTGAGAAAGGGGGAGGGAGTTCTGAGTGTTTCAAGGATATGGTCGTCAAGCGTCAGATTGAAAATAATAATAATAATATTTTCCGATGAAAAAAAAATTTCCCAGCTTTTATTCAGGCTTTCTCCGTTTTTATAATCAGTTGTGCTGTTCTCAGAATAGTATTTTGAAGGTTAATTTTAAGGATGAGCAAAAAATAAAAAGATCTGCAAATGCCTAGTTTCTCTGATGTATTCCTTTATTAAAAAACACGGTGTATTACGTCATCCCCGGCAGTAGTACATTCCCGACATTCCAGGATTGCGCGAAAGATCTAAAAAAATACATGAGTATTGCGCGAAAGAGGCATAAAGGGTCGCGCAAAAAAGGCACCGGGGTTGCGCGAATAGAAATCACAACATCTGCTAAAGGAATGCGCGAATTTAAAATGAAGCTAATTTGAGGTAGAAGTTTGGCAAATCAGGAAACAGCTGAAAAATAAATGCAATTTTACATTAACACTAGTTTAGGTTAGTTAGTCGACAAGTCATCGATGTCTTTACCATCTGATGATAAATGAAGTGAAAATATTAAATAATGATCATGGGTATAAAGAACTTTCCTAACTTTCTTCGGTAAAAATATTTAATCGGAAGAAACGAGGCAACGTCGGAATGCTCACACGACGTCGAAACGCAGCATGGGCCTTATAAGCTCTATTATTCGATGCCGCCATCATTATCCTAACACGAGTTCGAATATTCGCGCCAAAAACAGTGCGGCCGGTGATGAGCGTAAATTAGCGCCTGCAAGATCATAAGAATACTTCTCGCATTGCGCCAAACGCAGTGTAATCGGTCAGGAGGCGTGAAACGCATATTGGTGCCCACAAGACGGTAAGAATGCTGTAGGACTGCCTGTCACTCTCTGACTTTCTGCTAGGGAAAAATGTATCCTCGTTGTAACGATTCAGAAACTCGGATGGTATTTATTTATTTATTTATTTTTTAGTTACATTAAAAGAAAAAAAGAACGAACGAAATTTTCGCGTCGAAACTTTTGATACTTTTATTTGAGATCATTTAGGTAAATTCTCGGAAACTTTTCAGAAAAACTGTGCTTAGCTTTCTAAACACATTTATTAAAAATTATTAGTTAGATAAACTATATAAGTGGTGCATAACTCTGAAATCAGAGATAAATATATGCTTTCTTTCGGGTGCATCCGTCAGGTTTTGAATCCATCATCTCTTAAAAAACTTGAACATGGCCGTTCTACAATTTTTTACGTATAGTTTCTTTCAAGGGTCGGCGACTACGTAGCAGCCACAGGCCCCTATTTCACTTTTTAAATGTCTATGAAAGCTCTCTAGGCTATTAGCACAGCCAGGGGTATCAATCGAAGAGAGACATGCCCGCAAGTAAGGAGGTTGCCAACAGTCTTTCGCGATGTACCTCGCGATATCCACCACAAACTACCAAGGTTGCCAGATTAACGCTTTCTCGTTGAATCTTGAATATTCACGCAAACACGTGAGAGGAAAAGAGGGCATTCGCGCATTCCTATCGCAGCCTACATCCCGTGGTTTCTGTCTGTTTGGATCCATCAATAGAGAAATTGCAGGTGTCTGAAATTTTGTGAATTTCATTTTTAAAATGATACCGCTATGGAAACTGAGCATGCACGAGGATATCCTTGGTTTCTAAATTGAACAATTATTACTGGAGGAAATATGACAAAATAACCTAATCTGCTAAAATACACGTGTTTAAAAGGGAAATTGCCGGCAGATGACGTCATCAGGCGGCACATTTTTCACCTTTAAATCTATTTTTCTCCAATTTCCCATGTCAGAAAAAAATTATGAAAAATACTGCGAACTCAGCTCATTAGGCACTCTCAGATGAAGCAATAAAATTTTTGTGTGCAAATTCTCCATTAGTAATACACATGTTTGCACTGCTCGACATAAAACACGGATGAAACCGAGGTGGAAGAAATCGTGGTATGCATCATGCACCATGGCGATGAATGACGTCATGCACCGTACTGGTATTTCTTGATGGACGATATTTCCGTCACAAAATTGTTTTATTTTTACATTCTCTTCCTGATCTCTCGCTTATTTTTTTCTCTTTAAATGACAGTGGTCATTTCGGGATCTATAAGTATCCCATCATTAGGTCCTCGGATCACTACGTGTGAAATACGGATGAAATACGGGTTCTATATTTTCGTCGATACTTGACATGAAAACTTGAGGACCGTTCAAGTATTACGTAACGCACTTGGAGGGAGGAGGGGGTTGAGCCAGCGTTACAGCGCGTTACAAGGGAGGGTCAAGCCCAGCACTACTTAACAAATTCGAGGCGGGGGGAATTTGGAAAAGAACGTGCAAAAAATAAAAATATCCTGCCCTTCCCGTTTCGGCCCATGACCTAGCCCACGCAACGCTTGTCGCTCTTATTCATATTCACCCTATGAATCTAGAGTCCCTCCTTCCCCGAATTTTTCAAGCTGTTTTTTCAGCATTTTCTTTATTTTTTGAAAATTGAGGGGAGTCAGGCAAACGTTACGTAATTCAAAAAGGGAGAGGGTTTAGGAATACGTTACGGGTGCGTTACAAGGGGAGGAGAGGAGGTTAAAAAATAGGGAAAAGTGCGTTACGTGATACTTGAACAACCCCTGGTGTTTGAAAAATTCGTATTACTTTTTTGCCGGTCTACACTTTGAAATTGCCAGAACACGACTCTGTGACTGCAACTTCAACTGACCTATACTTGTACTTGTACAACCCGGGGTCGTCGACCCCTCTAATTGAAATGCTGGGTGCAGAGAGAGCATTTCTCGGTTGCGGTGTCTCAGAATGTCCGTTAACGTTTCATCCATTATCATTAAAGCAAATTGTATAGAATTCGTTAAAAGTTCTACTGAATTTTCTTCATGATTTTAAAATAAAACTTACTTAGTACTTACTAAAACTTAATAAAACTTACTTAAATAAAGAGCTCTTTTAACGTACGTTGGCAAAAAAACTCCAACATACCGAAAAACGAAATATTTAAAAAAAAAATCATCTGGTTTCCCCCTGGTAAAAATTGGCGATAGGAGCTCAGGAGCTGCGTTTCAAAATACCATAGGAGTTCTTATGGCCGACTGAAGAGGGCGATAGAAAATTATATAGCTGGCTGTAGAAAGTGGGAAAAAATCATACGGCCGGGCTACACGAAGAGATAAAAAAATTATACATCCGGGCTATAGTTCCTATCGCCGGGCTTTACACTTTACACTTATTATATTTTCTTTTATACTACATATTTTTTTTCATCAATTAAAATCAGAATAATCCATGCAGAGTGTGCAAACGTTTCAAAGTCATGAGTTGAAAAACGCTGACTCCGCGAGATTATATATTAGAGCCTAACACAAAGCGGAGCAGCGGCGCACTGGCGCCTACAAACCTAACAGGGATACTTCACGCATTGCGCAATGCGTGAAGTATCCCTGTTAGGTTTGTAGGCGCAAATGCGCGTTCAGCGCTGGCTGCCCGCCCGTCGCGCCGCGCCGCAGCGCACCGCGGCGCTTGACGCAACTATTTCACACCGGAGGTATTGCACAGTCTCATACGAAATTGAAGGCGCTCCAACATATCAGGAATGGCAGGCATCCTTCAAAAGTACGGAGCTTTCCTCGCAAATTAAATCAAGATACTGCGGCCCAAAAAGAGAGCGGTGGTCCAAAAACTCACTAAGTCCTAGCATCCGTAATTTGTAACGTTTAGCATACACTCTATCGCCAGGCTGTTGCTTAATCGCCATCGGCTATAAAAGGCTATAAGAAATTGTGTTGCTGGCTATAGAAGCTATTGGAAATCTTCAGCCGGCTGTAGGTCTATGGTATTTTGGAACAGAGATTCTACTGCCAATTTTTACCAGGGCCTCTCTGAAATGGACGTATTTCTGCCAAACGGAATTTCCATTATGACGTGAGCCCTGTTACACATATATACCTATAGATCTCAGGGCTCATGTCTCAATGCACATAGTTCCGTTTGATAGAAATACGTCCAAATATAAAAAAAAACAGTAACGATTTTGAAAGACCGCAACCAAGAGATGCCCCTTGAATCGCCTGAATTCTGAGGAGATGGCGTTACCGTCATTTCTGAAAGTCCCGGTTCGTAGTGGAGCCCCTTGAAAATTTCGATTATTCTGAGAAAGCGAGGATCTTCGCTCTGCCCGATCGTGCCCTCGATGTACGGGAAGGGTCTCGACCCAGATGGTCGCCGGATGGACGTGGAGGACAAGATCTGTAGATCCGGGGCTGTGTTCGATCGCTGGCGAAGGAAGTTAGACGGGGCCGAGGGCAGGATTTCCAGATCCGGCGGGGATCCGCTCCGACTACGACGTCCGGAGGAGGAGGAGGGGCCTGCTCCATCGCCGTTGCTACGCCGCGGCACGGGACTCCGAGAATGAAACATCGCCGAGAGCCCTTTCCGCACCCCCAGGGAACCGAGCGACTTACTGCGGTTTTTGCGAGACCCACGAGGAGTCCTGGGGACACCCCGAATACCATCCATCACCGCCAGGTAAATGATGAGGTAGTACAATAGTTTCATCGTGGATCCTGTAACAAGTGAGGGGGAAAAAACCTCTAAGAAGTGGCCCGAAGTGCATAGGCGGTTCTACGGGGGTGCCAGTGGGTGCCGGGCACCCCCAAGCAAAAATTAAGTACGGTTACTGGAACCGTGAAAGAGGCTTTTGGGCAAGTAAACACGTCAAGAAAAAATCGTATTACGAAGCGTAAAAAATTGGCAATATTTTTATTTCATGAATTTTTTAAATCTGAAAATTGATCTAAAAAAGACCAAATTACTGCTTTTAAAGATTCTGTATTCGCTCACACTGAAAAAAATCCCTGCAATTAATTGAAAATGTTATAAACAGAATTAATATTGATAGCCGTGTTTTACAAAGATTATACTGTTTTTTTTATGGTAAGAATGCAGTTTTGGTGAAAAGTTTTGCTAAAAATTTTCTACGTTGAATTTATAAGTATTTAAGTAGAAAGAAAGGAGAGGAAAAGAGAAAGGAGGGTAGGAATGGGATAAAACTTGAGGGCCGGAAATTAGGCCTCCCCTGGGCGACCGTCCCCTTTGGGGCGGGCTCCGACATTTTCCACCTCTGGGCACCCCCAAACATGAAGGTCTAGAACCGCCTATGCCGAAGTGTATATCGACGGTGAAACTACCAAACCACGTGTCTCGGTTTGCGGCGTCGCAGACTTCCTGTCATACTTTATTTTTTAAATAGAAAACTACTCAACGTCAATTCGTGAAAACTTCCGTGATTTTTCCTCTTTGTGCGGAGAAAAATTTGTGAAAATTGCAAGGAATAATATTGATTTGATCTCCTTCAAAACAAAAGTATATTAACATACGGATGTGAAGTTTGGCAGCTGAAGAAACGGACACAGGATATGCTAAGAGCAACGGAGATGGATTTCTGGAGAAGGTCAGCTGGAATTTCTAGGAGAGATCGAGTCCGTAATGATAGAGTGCGTCAGATAATGGAAGTCGAAAATGACATCGTGTTCGACGTCATGACCAAACAACTTGTTTGGTATGGTCATGTCAATAGGATGACGGAAGAGAGGCTGCCAAAAAAGATGCTTGATTGGGTTCCTCCTGGGAGGAGACGTAGGGGACGCCCAGTGAGAGGTTGGCGACAGGGGGTGTTAAATGAGATAAGAGATTGTCAACTCCCTGATGACCTGTGGGAAGACCGAGCTTTGTGGCGATTAGGCGTCGCACAGCGCCAAAGAGCGCTAAAAGCGACTCATATATATATCTCCTTCAAAAAAATAAAATATGAGTGGAGATTTTTAAACACCGCAAACGAGATACGTGGTCTGGTAGTTTCACCGTCAATATGTAACGAGGTGGAGAAATGGTGCAGGGTCCACATTATTTCGCGGGTGAATCAAAGCCGAGAAGTTCCACAAATTATAATGGACCACTAGACAAGGTACAAATTTCAGCATTCTGATACATGTTTCTTAACCAAAATTTCACGTAGAACACGATGCGCACATAACGAAAATTACCGAAATTAACTCCTTACGAAGATATTTGATGATTCTTGATGCGAGAATTGAAACAACCCGCTCATGAAAACTCAATGCTCTACGTGATTCACATCATGACATCTAAACGTTATCATGAACGTCTCAGCGATGTAAAAATCTGGCGACCTCAATCTTGACGCTTTGGCTGAGCTATAGCAAATTGCTTGTAGTTTGAACAACACATGGTGGGAAATGGACATTGCTCGATTGAGAAGCTTGCTGAAACCATTGTAGTGCGCGATTTGACTCACGTAGAGCTTTGAGTTTCTTGTGAGCGGCCAGTTCTAATTCCTCGTAACCAATGTGAAATAAAAAGGTTAATATCTTCGCTAAGAGTTGCTTTCAGTAACTTTTGTTGCGCGAATCGTGTTCTACGTGAAATTTTTGTTAAGAAACATGTATTAGAATGCTTAAGTTCGTACCCTGTCTGGTGGTCCATTAAAGTAAAAAAAATGTTTTTAACTCTAATGAGCACTAGTATATACAAAACTGAGGGGGGAGAGTGCTCACTGACGGGCGTGATCTGCTGATGAGGTCTAAAAAGACCCAAACCGGTATGGAATCTCGCCGTGGCTCCAACTTAATATTCCGATGCAAAGTGCCTGAGCTGAACACTCTCCCCCCTCAGTTCTGTATACTGATGACTGATGCTCATTAGAGTTAAAAAAAAAAAGTTGACTCTAATTATAATTTTTGGAACTTCTTGGCTTTGATTTTCCCGCGAAATGATGTGGACCCAGCACCATTTCTCCACCTTGTTATCCTATAACGAATAAATCTTCAACTATAAAATGGATCGCATTTAGCAAAAAGGAACCAGTGCGATTAGTGTTGTAAAAATGTTGCCTCTTCATAGTTATCTAAAAAATCTCTCAGAATAGCAAATAGTTTTTGCTCCCGACCAAAAACTTGTTAATTTCAAAAGAAAATAATTGTGTACATTTTAATACTGTACAATTGTACATATATTGAGTATGAGATAGTACAATAATTTCATCGTGGATCCTTTAACAGGAAAGACTTCGATTATAAAATGGATCATCGCATTTAGCGAAAAGGAACCAGCGCGATTACCTAGTGATGTAAAAATGTTGTCTCTTCATGGCCATCTAAAAAGTCTCTCAGGATAGTTTTTGCTCCCCACCAAAAAGTGTTAATTTTAAAGAAAAATAATTGTGTAAATTTTAATCTCGTATGCGTATTGATTATTTCTGAAACGAAAGAAGAAGTTGCATGATTTTGAAAACATTGGGATCGCGCTGGTTCTTTTGTGCTAAATACGATCCAAATCTTCAACTATAAAATGGATCGCATTTAGCAAAAAGGAACCAACGCGATTACAGTGTTTTAAAAATGTTGCTTCTTCATGGTTATCTAAAACATCTCTCAAAATAGCAAATAGTTTTTGCTCTCCATCAAAAAATTGTTAATTTCGAAGGTAAATAATTTTGTAAACTTGAATATCGTATTAATATTGAGTATTTTTAAAAGGAAAGAAGAATTGCATGATTTTGAAAACACTGTAATCGTGCTGGTTCCTTTTTGCTCAATCCAATCCAAATAAGGATAATGTATCGTCATAAGATCGCAATAAACCTTAGGGATTGTTAGACCCAAACTCATGAAGAAAAAATGAATGAAGTAAACGTGATTAGTAGGCTAATCAATAGAAGAAAAATAAAGTGAAAAGGAAAAATCGATTTATCGTTGCATCACCAGAAAATATCTCTCAGATCCCTTTGATAAGCAGGCCTTAGTGAAATTAAAAGTGTAAATAATCGGTGCTCAGTTAACTTTAAGAGCCGTATTATTATGGGTCTCCTTGTCATCCTTGGGACAAAGATCCCCAAAGATGCTGAAAAAAGTCTTGCAGTAACATGCGATGAAAAACTTTGCACGTAGGTAATTTATGCGAAAAGCCATTTTGCCAATAACTGTGTCTTTTTAGCCTACCTGAAATCTGTTGCGGCGGCTTTACTCGAGATTAAAAGCACATGCAGGAACGTCTCAAGATAGACACAACTTAAACGTCAAAATATTTTGTTTTGGATAACAGCAATAAAATAAACGGTTAATTTTATAAACAAAGCATCTGAGCAAATCAACCGTGACTACATGTATGATCCATCAAGAGCATTGTTCTAGCTAGCCGCGGCATTGACTGAAATGTTCGCTAACAAGAGGACTGCTGATTTAGGGGACTGACGCAAAAGGGCAAAGTGCTTGACTCCAGCGGAGGTACGATGAGTGGCAATGTATTATGGAAGAATTTTTTTGTATTTTTCTCAGAATTAGATGGAAAGCACTGCAGAATACTTGCAGAGTGTAGGCAAATTTCGTGGTTTGAAAAAAATGTTCGGGAAAAAATGTGCATGAGGTAGGGGATATGAACATCAAGAAGTTCATACGTACGTACGCAGACGCGCAAAGTGTGGGGACAAAAAAAGTCTGCAGTTCGCATGTTGGATCAAACTGACATTTGCTTTATTCCTAGACTTCCTTTAATGGAAAAAGTGCGTTTCCAACACAATAATGGTTCGTTGGTCGGTGAATACATTTATTTGAAGGTAAAAAACCGTGCTAATGACGTTAATTTCAGAGACGACGCCAGAACATGCTCCCAATAAAAGGGAGGGGGTCCAATTTTTATTCGACTCAAACTGCCATAACTTCGTCAATTTTTGACCGAATGAGTCGCCTTGCACTGAAAAAAACAATATGCTGTTTTAGCGCCTAGGATGTCAAAAATGTGTCTGGTGATCCCATGATGCTGCCTTCACTGCCCCCGCAGTTAACTTTACATCCTGTGAATGTAAAGTCAATTGCGTGCGCAAACAAGGCAGCATCTTAGGATCACTGGACACATTTCTGACATCCTAGGTACTGTAACAGCATACCTTGTTTTTCGATCGAGAGCTTTTGAGTTGATCGTCAAAATAAGACCAACATCAAGTCTGTAGCTGGTGTGGTTTTTGAATTGCAGAACCAGTCCGGGTACTTGTTGGACATCCTAATGTATGTATAATGCTGCTTGTTTTAAAGAATGAGAAATACTTCTCACAAGAGCTTTCAGACCTCATTCTTAAATTTTCTCTCAAATCTGAGCGACACCTCCTTGGCAGCACAGAAAAGAGGAATGCGCGTTCACGCCTCGCGTCATCGCGCCTTCAATTTTGCAGATGCAACACGGACATCCATCTAGCACGAATAGTTGTATCTCTGCGCCGCGCCGTCATCAATGTGCGCCCTTTTCCTTTCTTGTGCTTCCAGACCATGTTGTGTCGGTTCCGTTTCTTGAATGAGTTGGTTGCGCTGGTCACAGAAATGTGTTTTGATGCTTGAGTCTTGTAGATTATCTTAACATAATCAGATCTGCCCAAACAGCAACTTCATACGTTGGATATTAACCGAGATATAGCACCTCGGAACATTCGGTTTATGATGTCATCCACCGCGGTAGTGAATCTTTGGTTCTTTCCACCTTGCTTTCATCTGAGTTTCACCTTCACGTTGAGTAACCAACGCAAATGTGTGTTTCCATGACTGATGAAAGCAAGGTAGAAGAAACCAAGGGTGTCACTGCCGCGATAGATGACGTCGACGTCATAAACCGAACTTTTCAAAGCGCGATATCTCGGTTAATATTGAACGTAAAAAGTTGCTAGCTGGACGGATCTTATTACTTTTAGCTGTCCGTTAAGAGTCAAGCATCAAAACACGATTCTATGACCAGCGCAACTGACTCATTTGCAGTGTTGCTTCAATGGCTACGTGAGCAACACAGTCGAAGATATACTTGAGAGACGCTATCTCAAGTAGCATTTCTCAACGGAAAAATCGTTATACATTGCGATTTCATCGCTGATGAAATCGCCAGATTATCAACATCTGAGCGATTATCCTCGATCTGATCGCGATAAAAAAGCGCTTTTATCGCCTGGCAATTTATCGTGATACTTTCGAAATAAAAATCGCGATAAATGGCGATTTAATCTCGATTTTATCGACGAAAATTGATCACGATTATATCGAACCAAAAATTGCGATGTGTAGCGATTTAATTGCCATAAATCGCAATTTTTAATGCGACAATATCTCGCTATGCTGCCAACTATACATATAATCGCGATTACCAACCGATACAATCGCTATTTATTGCAATCATTGCTACTTGGGATCGGACCTCGCTTCTTAACTAGATACCTAATACTTTAAGACTATGAAAATCAATGTATTTAAATACAGGTCAATTCGACTCGACTTATTAGGACTTCGCATAATAAATAAATTTTAAAAAAAAGTCAATTTGACAGTTTAATCAATGATTTCATTCTGAACCTGCCTAGCGGTCCATCATGATCCAATTAGATTTTTATAAAAATCATTGACTTTGTTCTGTTGTCGTTATAGGAGTTGTGTGGCTGAAAACTCTGTTCTCGGTAGAAGTGATTGAACAAAATTGCCAAACTGTCGCGCTGCATGATGGCATTGTCATGAAGTCAAGTTTAGATCGAGCAACTATTTTTAACTCCTCGGAGAACAAAGATCAGATTGCATATCCAACGAATTGAAGGAGATTTTAAAGGATCAGTCGTTGGTGCCTTGGAAATGCATTGAGTCCATGTTTATGCATGTTTTTGAACGTGAACCATCGATGTATTTTTCGGTTAAAGTGATGTCCTAAGATGTTGAAATCTGATCGACTCAATCGATGGGTTAATGCATCCACAAAGTTTTTGATTAAAAAATCTTATGAAGTCAGAAAATCGTTTTTGAAATGATGAAAAATCTTGATTAGACTCTTTGTTTTTTTTTTTTCATTTTTATTTTTAACTGCATGAGAAAAGTTGGAATATCTATATCTAGTGACCATGACCGGATTTACCTACTTGCCGCCCATGGGCCGCTTGTATTTTACCGCACTCTTCTCATTCATTTTGAAACATCAATAAAAACCATCAAGTGAACGTGCCGGAGGGAGAAGGGTGCATAAGACGCGTTCACTCGTGTTGGAGACATTTTTTGCGTACCTAAGCCCTGTCAAGACTACAAGCAAAAGTTCACGGAACTTCGCGCGAAAGTTCAGTTCCGTAAACCTATCTCTGTGGGGACAAGGCCATTTATTTGTAAGAAATGAACTAAAAAATTAAGAAAGAACAAACATAAATGTGGTTTAATAATTTGAACCTCCGCCGCCCTGACCGGTTGGCGCAATGCGTGAAGTATTCATGTAGTCTTGTAGGCACTGTGCGTTTCACGCCGCGCCGACCGCTGTTGACCGTACTGTGTTTGACGCAATGCGTGAAGTATTCATGCAGTCTCGTAGGCGCTATTATGTGTTACATGCCGATCGCCGCGTCGAGGGCTTCGCTTCTCCTTTTCATCTCAAGTCCTCATCATCATTTCTCTTTGCGCCGCGCCGCTCCAGGCCAAATTACGTGTTCGGTTTCTCTCTCAACTCAACTACTTAAAGGTGCGCAGTCTTTTGTACCACCGAAATATGACAAAATTAGAAATTAATGAACTCTCAGGAAGTGAGAGATTTTGTCACCCTTTCTTGTTTGTAATTTTATTCTGAATCCGATTTTTTTGTACCTGCATTTAAAAAAACTGCAAATTTTGCCACCCCCTAATTTTGCCGTCATGGGCCGCGGCCCATGTGGCCACCCCCTTAATCCGGCCCTGCTAGTGACCCTGAAATGGGATGATTAAAATGAATAAAATGATGATTATAATATTTTCTATTAGCTGTCGAGAAAATATTATATGTACGATGTACAAAGCGTGTTTTGGAATTGGATCATTAGTTTCATAGACTGAAAAGCCTTTTGTCACAATCTGCGACTACATTCATAAGTGGGCATGAAAAAAAGGGCCCATCTAGTGTTGACTGCTGACTATCAAAACCAGAATTGACGGGCTTGGAGGACAAGGCGCATACTTGCAGTGTTTGCAATATCGAGTAATATGTGTTTAAAGTTTCGAAATTACATGGATTCTTGTGGCGGAAAGAAAGTTCAAACTGACTTTTTTATGCTTAAAATTTAGAATTTGGTGGCAAATTTTTCACAGAAAAATTAATAATAAATAAATTTCATGCGTTAATACTAGTTTCACTTGAAACCATTATTATCTTAATTTTTTCAAAAACTGCACTAATGCCCCTTATCCTCCAGGCTTTTCAATTGTGATTGTAACATGGTTATTGAGAGCAAACTGATGATGATCAAACATACCATCTTGATTTTAAGGATGACATCATCATTGTCCTCACTGATCATACCACTCGTAAACTCACTGATAAAACTGATGACAATACAGAGCAAATTCCTCAGTGTCTACAGGTTCTTCACAACCTAATTAACAACCACATATAACCAATGACAACAGAGTCCTCACAAAAATGTGAGCGAGGACCACAAAAGTTGAAAATACCTACCCATAAGAACCGAAAAAAGATGAGCAGCCAAATTCTGGTTTCTAATAAGCTGAAAAGCATGTGGCTACTTAAAGATGGGATGAAATTGCTGATATATCGGGACTATCAGGAAAATGGGCAAAAAATAGTTAAAGTAAATAAGGGTAAAAATTTAGAAAATTACTTAACTGATGAATAAGTATAATAACTTTATATTCAACAATAAACTTCAAATCACAGAAATATTTACAACAATATACATTTACTATTTGGATGGATGATGCTTCGTAACCATCAAGAGACCAATTTCATGAAATTCAGAGAAACTTACAAAGTTCAGAGAAACTTATAAATGTATGACGAGTTGAACAAATGGCCAAGGTCTTAGGTATTTACTTTTATTCTTTTTATAATTTTGAAGCTGAAGCTTTTCAGCTTTTCGGCTTCAAACTTATGAAATAGAATACAAGTGAATACCTAGCACCTCAGCTATTTATTCAACTCATCATACATGGATAAAATGGTGCTCATCAAAACTTAAGAAGTTCAGAGATTATGAAACTGACTAAAAAAAATAATAAAAATAAATAAAATAAAACACCTGACTGCGGTCAGACTGGTGTGCCTCACCATTTTCCTTCATTCTGATAAGAAAAATGCTGAGGGTGTAATCGGTCATGGAAATAATGTGGAGGGCAGACTGAACAGAAGCATAGTTTAAACATGACTGTACATATCGACCGTATTTATCTTAGATGTTGTGGTTGACTAAGTGTGTATTTCGACTAACTAGGTCACGAATGCATGTAATAGTCAATTGCAGTTGAGAATGCAGCAAATCCTGCTGCCCCAAGTACTCCTGCTTTTACACCAGCTGAAAAATATTAAAGATAAAAAAACATTACAAGACAAATAAAGTGCTACACCTGCTCTTTAACACTTACAAAATGTTATTATTGTTTGCCCCAGCCTCACTACAGAGGATTGTGCAGTCTCAGCACAAAGTGCTGCACTGCTGCCTCAATCTTAGAGGAAATCACATAGACTACGAAGGAATTTAATGCCTAAACTGTGTTACTTCCGGAGATGTTGCACTGCTGCTACTGTTAAGTCAAATTTTTAGACCAAGCTTTGTACATAAACTGCCACCGTGCAGCAATGCTCCACAAGTTATCACTTGGAAAAATGTTGCTACTTTTTTCTGAGAAACAAAGAAATGTGAGAACTCGTATCTGTCATACCAGCCACACTGACAAGGACATTCTGGTGTTGCAACATTTCTACCTGAAATTACATAGAGGTGCTGGAAATTCATTTTTCAGCCCTACTTTTCTTGCAAAGAGTATATGGAGAGTGGACTTTACATAGCTTCTTGTGACTAGTTAAGTAAAGTAAATTGATACCTCTTGGAAAAGGAAGTAAGTCACATATTTCTAAAAATTAATGTTTTGGTGATTATTTGAAAAATAATTGTTTCAAAGTTTGCAACCTTCAATAACTCAATTTTCATCTTTGTACAATTGCTTTGAACTTTTTGAGCCTTAGGACCGGATGTGACTTTAAACTTTAAACCTACGTCTTTCCCTTTCATATCAATGGCCGAAGTGTAAAACCATGTAACTCCATTTGCAACATTGCAGACTTCGTGACATACTTTATTTGGAAAACTAGTCAAAGTAATTTCTTGAAAACTTTCTCGATTTATCTTCTGTATGAATTTTAAGCTATAACGTTGCCTTGCTTAACTTTGAAAATATGAAATAGTGGCGGGAATTTGGAACATCACAATAGAGATTCGTTCAAAGTTGTCTTTAAAGCAAGGAAACGAAACTAATTTAACTATCCATGGTTCATCACCTATGTATAAGTACTATACCATTATTAAACATATAAAAAAGTCAAACACAGAGGAGATGAGGAGATGAGATTTCATTCCTATTACCTCTCAGTCCAATTACTCCACCAGTCACTGCTCCAGCATAAGTTCCATTCTTCCAATCAGTTTTGCCTCGATACTAAACATGGTGGGAAAAAAATGATAAGTGCTATTACTGAGGAAACTTCTTCATTGTATCTAAGATTTTTATCCTCTGACAAGAATACATTCTTCGATATCACTACATGCAAAAATCACTGACAATTTTATTTTGAGAATCGTACAAGAGAGTAAAAAAATCATATTGAATTTAGAATCAGATCTTTGATGGATTTAATGAAAATCAAAAATCAATTTAGCAGCACTAATGCTGAAAAATGCACAAAAGATTCTCTTTGTTAAATAACCAGGCACCAGATAAATGTGCTACGGCTAAATTCTTAAAATTCTGAAGATGAAATATACTTCACTCTACAGCTTTAAGTGGGGTGAGTAAGAGTGTATAGCTAGATAGGTAGGAATAAGATTTCTAAAATAGAGATAACTCACACTTTCGATTGTGCACTCAACTGCTGAAAACATAGCTCCAACCATTGCAAAATTTTTAGCATATCCTAAAGTTGTCACTTTCATTTCTTTCAAGATCTCCTTGACTGTTTGTTCTTTCCCATCAATTGGAGAAACTGCCATTGAGGGCCCGACACTCGAGGAAAACAAACCTATGGCAGCTCCAAGCCCATAACCTGAAATAAAAGGACAGTAGTTCTGAGGAACGTTTGAAGGAATGTGAAATCTTCACACATCATCAGTTATACTTAAAACTATGATCCCGATTAAGTTGTTACAAACTTTCTGCTCTTCATAATTTTTCTGAGGGTAAATGAGCCATATTCATTTCTGAAAATTTTCAGAGCATATTCCAGAGGTATGCATGGGCTGCCACCCCAAAACATCCGTCAATTGATTTGAAAAACCTATGCAACCATTCACTTATGGTTTTCGGGAGGTTGTAGATCATAATTGAAACTTTAAAATGAGGCTTTGTTAGCTTAATTCGACAAAAAATTATGGAGTTGCACTAATTTTATGAATACAAGTTGAGGAGAACCCTCCAGGATTGAGGACGGATTTAAATCTAAGATTTTACAAACTTGACATTATAATACGTCACCCGATAATTATACAAATCTGTACGTCAGAATAGGTAATAAATCACAAAAAAATTCTTTGGAATATATGGCTGGTGTAACCAAGGGAGCGTCCTGTTCCCCATTTATGAAACATCGCTTTCCATCATATAGTTTGGATGACAACAAATCGCAACAGACCCAGCATACAAAAAACTTTGCATGAGCAGACAATGTTTCGATCATCCTTCTTGCCTAAAATATGTAAAGAGACATTGAAAAAAACTGTTTTAGGATCAGGACAGAACCTAACAACAGAACTAAGCTAAAAATAGCTAAAAATGATAGATTTTTTATTTTACCAATTAATTAACATGACCAATAACTAGCAAAACAATGAGGTAAGCATAGGATACAGTAGAGTGAAATTTCATTGTACTCACCAACAACACAGCTCATTAAAGTTTTAAAAGGACAACTTTCGAAAAATGCTTCTATCATTTTTTCTTCATTTGATTTGATGACGGTGGGAGCAACAGACCGCGGAATGATGATGTTCTCTCGATACCTGTAATTGTTTCCGATGAAGTATCGTGCTAAAGTATCCAAGGTAGGATTGCCCGAGATGCTACTTTTATTACTATCGTCACCCATTGCTATTTAACCTGAACAATTAAATACGAATCAACAGCATATGTACTTTGATTTACACCTGATTTATACTGGGTTCACTTCACATAATCTGCATTCATTAGAGTACTTGATCTGCATGACATAACCTCACTTTTCTCTCGTACACATTGATTACCGAAAATCACCGTGGAACAAAATTATTATCCATCATTCATCGGAAGTTTGTTAGTAAACATCGCCACATGATTTTGAAATTATTTCATATACGAGCTCGAGCAAAAATTAGTTTCAGCTAGGTTTCAGCTCATTATTCTGTTTGAAATTGAAAAGTTTATGTGAATCCATTTCATTTTTTGCGGAAATTCTATAGAATGTGTGGAAGAACTGCATGGTATTAATTTCTTTTTCTTTTTCTTCGTTTCTTTCTATACAGTATACCTGGAATTCTGGATTACCAAGAGCACCCGGGGGATTTCTGGAGCACATTGTTTAATAATGTTCATATCTTTGAAGGGGAAGAAAAATTTTCATAGCTGTGTTTTGCCTTGAAGTCATCTTGCTTTCAGCCTCTGCAACTCTTGATATTTATCGTATGGACTGAAGAACTAAACTTGCCCTCTCAAGTGATGAATTGTTAATCATCACTGTAGCGTAATCAATACATTTTTGTAAGGTTCCTCCTTTTTAGAGCCCGTTTCAAATTACTTTGCCTCTCGTGCTGTTGGTGCAGGAGAGGGAATCTTGGATCCTGTGTATACTGTGGAAGAGGAAAAGTAATCTGAAACGAGATCTAGTCATTCTCAAGTACCTATTCCTCTCTCGAAGAGCGAATGAACACTAACTGTGATTATTTCCAAATACTCTGCTTTATCCCTGCTAGAATAGGTACTCTGCAAAAACTTTGAATTCTGATAACAGCTGGTTTCCATGTGTAGGAACGAACCTTGAAAGTAAATCGTGATATCACACTGCAACATAGTAATTTCAGACCGGAATAATTTTTACATACATTCTTTGTAGGTTTACCACCCAGGTATATTTAATTCTGTCAGAAGGAGACCTGTCAAGCATAAATTTCTTGTTGCAAATTAAATCCCCTCTACCACAGACACATGGCAATAAACCAAATTGAAAAACAGAAGGAGCAAGAACGATTGTCTTTAATGAGTTTTTCCACTATGTAATGAATACCTATTTCTGTCCTATGAAGAAAAGCTTGAATAGCTATGACACAATGTCAACATCTTTAACAGTAAAAGAGCTGAAATCTGTGGTTGCTGTAATGGGCAACAATAATAAAAACACAAATACAAAAAACAAATGGGTATACAAGGCTAGATTTTATGTGAGTTTGCACTGATTCCTACCTCGGTCAGTTGCATGCTCATTTTCTCATTTTAATTTTTACATTTTTTAGCTTCTGTTCCAGTTGGGAATGGGCATATAATTGGCCCGAAACGTCCTGGTTGATTTATGTCTCTTCTAGCCTTGTACACCCATTTGTTTTTTGTATTTTAGTGTGTTTTTATCGTTATCTGCATTCGGGCTATTGTGTGTCTCTCTCTCTAATCACTTTAATGGGCATACACTTCATTTCTAATTACAGGACTCCTGTCCATGATTGGAAAACCCAATTTGAGTTCACTCAGCATAAATGTAGCTTGAGCTCTGCTTACCCTCTTTCTACGATATTTACCTCCCCTTCTCTCAGGTCATCTTTTTCAATCTTGTTGCCTTTGTCCAAATATTTTATTTCTCTGATGCCAACCTTAATTTTTGTGTTAATACTCAGTAACCTGTGCCGTGAAGATTATCAAAAAGCGACCACATACAAAGATGGAGGAAAATATCAAAAACCCGTTTGGAATGATGTTGGAAACGATGGACTCACATTCAAGCCATCGAATAACATCGCACCCACTGATGTTACTCCCATCCTTCTCTCTGGAAATCATTTTGATGAGCTGAGCAATCATTCACGAGTGTTAACACCAATGGTGTGGGGCATGATTCCTCCATGGCACAAAGTATGAATAACGTACACCCGCTTATTTTCTTATTTTTTCATGGAAGTCTTTTAACATGGGAAGGGCTACTTACTCACATAATGGAATCCTAATCTTATAGGTGGAGCTCTGACGGGCAACGAAAAGAACACTTCTCAATAATATAATATTGAGGAAGAAGATGTTTGTACGGATGTCAAACTAGGATAGTGAAACTTTAAAATCCAGTTTCTGTTACATTTGATTGCTTTGTAAAAGTTAGCTTTGCCTGGTGAAATTTTAGAAATGCGTACCTCTATTTGTGGCCTTGTAGACTTTCTGTCATACTTTATTTTCTACGCTGGAACCTACTGAAGGTCATTTCTTGAAAACTTCGGTGACTAATCTTCTCAAGAAGAAAGATATTCTGTACAAATTTCAAGTCATTTTGTTAATTTGGTCTCTTTTAAAAAAAAAAAAAAAAAATAGCGGATATTTTGAAACACCCTACTAAGATACGCAGTTCAGCAGTGCCACAGTCTAAATGCTATTAGATATTAAATTACAGATTTCATTTTTGTTTGATATCTGAAATTTCCTAATGTAAGTAATGAAAATAACAAATATTAAGAAAATGATTATTGTTAGGTGGTCAGTTTATTATTTTCAAGGCAAAATTCTCTTACTAATTAGAATTTATAATTTTAACTGTACATCTATTGCTTATTCTTGCTCAAAATTTTCAAGTCCCATTTGATAGTAACAGCCCGCTAATTACATCTCTCTCTCATTGTGCCACTCATTAAAAAAATATTCAGACCCGAGTAACTTTGTCTTAATTTTTTTTTTTTTCAAAACCTGCCTCCTCTTTTTTATTTAAAACTGTAATTCTTTTTTCTTTCAGGGTTCGTTCAAATCTCACGGCCTTTCAACAAACAACTGCAGGATAGAGACACTATTGTCCTCAAAATTATACAATGCACCCCTACGAAGCGGAAAGCGTTGCGTTGTTTTGTGTGAAGGATTCTACGAGTGGCAAACCACCAAGGGAAAAAGCAATAAACAGCCATATTTTATTTATATGCCCCAGAAAGATGGTGTAAGTTACATGATTTCTCTTCTATCCTCAATCGCAACATTCTTTAGGCATGAATTAACACACTCCCTGTTTAGTGGTCCATTGAGTTAATTTGGGTTTGGTCAAAACTAATTCTGTACCTCTGAAAGTTATAAAGAAAATAATGGAGTTATCCGAAGCTTAAGTCTTTACGTACATCAAATTGCTTGACTTATTGTTAGTGAAAAAAAAACACTAAGAAGTGGTCCGAACTGTAAGTAACAAGGTGGAGGAATGGTGCTGGGTCCACACCAATTCATGGGGAAAACAGAGCCAAGAAGTTCCAAAAATTATATTATAATTAATTGGTTCGGACCCAGCACCATTTCTCCACCTTCTTAACATTAATCTCAACCTCTTTTCATACTCAAAAATATTTATGTGAATATAGGAATCGTTAAAATATTCTTAAATTTACTCTCAATTTTCGCAAGGAAAGAGGAAGATCCTAAAGTTTCCGTACGAGTTAGTAGAGTTTTTGATCATTCACTTGGATAGAGGTATGGCCTTATCTGTTGAGACATTGTGAGTCGCTATCCATCTCTAGGTTCATCCATAGCAATAAAGAAAGGACAGTGTTTAACTGAGTTGTTAAAGAGGCCTTTTTAACTAAAACATTTACCCCCAAAAATGGAAAACAAAAATAGTAATTGAAAATATATGATCGCGAAATTATTGTCCTTTTCATGCATGAGGCCATGCTTTTTAAATTTGCCATGCTTGAAAGTGATATTTTTCAAGCATGTATCTTCAGTATCAAAATTATTCATTTTGAATTTTAGACACTTTGTATCAATATTTTATCACGGTGCTAATTACATTCATTGTTACTTTATTTGTTTATAAGCCCACCATAAAAATTGATTGAAATCGTAGATAGTTGTATCTAGTGAGGTACCTAATTACTTTATAATTTGTCTCTTTTCTTTTCCAATTATTTCAAATACCTATGTATGCAATGCAACAGGTCAAAGTTGAACTACGTCAAAATTGGACTCATGCTAACTGGAATGAAGAAGAAGGCTGGACAGGACCGCGACTAGTTCATTTTGCAGGGCTTTTTAACAAATGGACAGCAGAATCGGTATGTCAATCTATATAAATAATTGAGAGAATAAAAATACATAAAAACTTATGTAGAATACCAGTTTTGGTTTGCTTTTCAATAGAAGAGTCTCTCTTGTGTGCCATCTGTTCATGATAAATTCATGCAGAACGCACCGTAGAGAAAAAAAAATCTTGCAAAACTTGTCTGGTTCCACTGCCACGAGGTACCTTTAAATTTATTCTTAATGGTCCATTTATTCTCATTTCTTGTAATATGTCGTGAGGATGGAAGTCTGATTTGACTGATTCTGTCCCTGTAATATTTATCTACATTGTTAGTGTATACCTGATTTTCTATAAAAATTACTCAGTTCAAGGCGCGCTGAGATTTGAATAAGCGCTGCTGGTTCAGATTTTTGCAAAAAGTCTGATTTCTAGCTGATAAGTTAATGATAAATGTCGGCCATTATATCTAATAAGAGGGTTTTTTTAGACAATATTGGGTAACTTAGATGCGATCCACTTGTGTGCAGGCTGGTAGTCTCTGTTAATTTTTACTTTCTCTCATCAAATTTTCAATACCTTGGGCTTGTTTTAAAGCCGAGAGTATGCCCTTTACACACCTATTAACCGGTTTGATTTATCTTTCTTTAGCTCGGAAGGTACATCACGGGGAAAATTTATTTTTTGGATGACCTTGGTATATCGGTTTGAAATGAAAATTTTCTCAACTTTTCTTCTTCTTTTTTTTGGATTGGAAAGCAATTTGATGTCAGACAATTTTTTTTTTCTGCTGTAGGGTGAATCAGTCTATAGCTACACCATCATCACAATGGAATCAAATAAAACTCTCTCTTGGTTGCATCACCGAATGCCTGCAATCTTAGATACAGAACAAGCAGTCAAGGTAAGAAACCCTCAATTTATTCCAAATTTCCCATCACCAAGAAAATGTTGAATTTCCTCCAATTAAAACAATTAACAGAAATATGGAGAAAATTCAAGGGGGAGGGGGGGGGCGTTATTGAATTGAGCTCTTTTGTATAACATTGAGTAGCTAAGATTGTTGCAAATGGTGGTACAGACCGCTCTGATACTTGGACTCACCAACCCACAGGCCAATTTTCTCAATTCTATTAAAGTGGCTTTTATTTTGTTTTTTCCTCCTTATAGAGTACCGTGCTCTAGGTATGGCCTTTGATGAAAAGAGGGCAAGAATTGTTGAGGGCAACTGAAATGGATTTTTGGCGGTGATCTGCCGGCATTTCGAGACGGGACCGTGTCCGTAATGAGAGAATTCGCCAGATGTTGAAGGTTGAAAAAGATATCGTGTATGGCTTCTTGTCCAGGCAGTTATGGTAGTATGGATATGTGCAAAGAATGTCGGAGGAGAGGTTGCCTAAACCAATTTTAGATTGGGTACCACCTGGAAAGAGGGGACGGGGACTGGGGAGGTCCCGTAAAGGGGTGGCAGCAGGGCGTTGACAAAGAGATGTTGCGGTGTCAGTTGCCCTATAACCTCTGGGAGGACAGGCATATGTGGCGTTTCAACGTCGCAGAACGCCAGAGTGTGTTGTAGGAGCGACTTCACATTTAATTATTCCCCCTTATTTCTGTTCTAATTTTATGCTAACGAAATGTTAGTATCAACTTTGCTCTCTAAAGTCCATCAGTACTCATTGTGCCTATTTTCTATTTAGGACTGGCTGGATTTTGAAAATGTGTCAACAGAAGAAGCAATGCAAATCTTGAAACCCATTCAAAAATTAGTTTGGCATCCTGTATCAACTACTGTCAACAATTCGCGGAACAAAGATGAAGAATGTAACAAACCTCTTTCTACTAAGTCATCCAGGTATCGTATAATATGTTGAATTGATGACTGTCGATAAAGCTCAATTTGTAGTAACTATCCTACATTTCAAAAAAATTTAGTCAAGAGTAGTTTTGGGCACAACTAAACTGGTTACAGAATGGGAACAGGCACAGACATGGGTCTGTACTGGGTCTTGTCATAGAATTGTGTGTTTATGATCAAGTAAATTGTCATAAACATACTATCCTTCTTTAAGTAGTACATTCAATGAAAGTTTCTCAAAAACATTTCTCATGGGAAGATTTTGAAGGAGAGTGCAATGGTCAAGACTGAGAATCAGAGATTGACTCCGAATTTGAAACTTTGATGTATTTTTTTAAGGTAATGATGGTCATAGTTGTTGCCACCAAGTGTTTTTTTTAAGAATTTTTGCTTGGAAGCAGAGAGATTTCGGATTTTTTGTCTTGAGGCTTCTTCACAATTACGTTTTCAAAAGAAACACCTTCCTCCTGTAGATTCAATTGCAAAGCGTGATTGAATCAAGCATTAGGTATTGATTTATCCCATTTGAAGCTATGGTAAGGTGCTCATTGCTAACACACTGATAATCGATCCTTTTCCGTAGGTTAAAATAACTTATCAATCGATTCATTGCAAAGCTTAACACGCGACTGATTTTTCTCTCTCTCTCTCTCTAAAAAATTATTCAAGCAAACATAAGAAACGATTTAAAACTTGTGTAATTTTTTTTTTTTTTTTTTTTTTTTTTTTTTTTTTTCTTTTTTTTTTCTTTTCAGTGAAAAATCCAAAGGAGCAACTTTAATGAGCAATTGGCTGAAAAGAGGGCAAAAAAAAGAAGACAAGGAAGAGAAGCATGATGGATCAGATGGAGAAACTCCGGAGAAGAAAAAAAAATAAGTGGAGAAAGGGACTGATTTAAAAATCTTAGCCTGAAAGCTAATGTCTTGTGAAAATTTGCAAATGTCACTACATTCATCACTTGCAAAATTTTTTGTCACTCAGCTCACCGATGAACTATGCATAATTTTCGAACATTCACTTTGATCCCTTTTCTTTTGTGAATTTTTTTGATTTTCCTAGCTTTTTAAATGCTATCGATTGTCTTCAAAACAAATCTTATCTTATTATCATTATATGTACCCGTAAACGTATAAGCCCTTATACACATTGAAAATACTATTTTTAATTCTTCTTAGATGTTCTCAGACACTTGGGTCTCTTAGATATAACAAATATACATGTTTTAAGTCTCTTAAATCTATGATGACCACCAAGAATATGTTTTTAAACCAGTTCATATGAAATTTCTTATTTTTAAAGTTACCTTCCCTGTCTTGAAAAGAAATTTCTTCTTTCGAACTCCACTTGTGATGATTGTTATATTTTTCTTTTTGCCCAGAACTTTGTACATTGGTTTCCTCTTGTTTTTATGCCATCAAATGATCTTTTGCTGTCACAAAAATTTTAAGATCACATTACATATATAAGAATATAATGTGATCCTAAGATTTTTTCAAACTCCATTGTAAGGATTAAGGGCAAGTGTTTTAACATGTTTTAACATATAGCTGCATTTAATAGATTTAAGCACTGCTGTTTTCTTTAGTGCTTGTTTAATCTTAAAGTTTCTCAGGTACTTTAACATTCAATGTCTTAATGCAAAAAATGCGCATCTCAATGAAAATAGGTGAAAATCTATTTCCTTTTATTTTCTTCAAAGACAGCTAATTAAAATCATTTCCTGCAATCATGTGTGATTTTCATAAGGACAAAGCAAAAAAAATGTATCAAAAAGTAGAATAGAGGCTGATGGTTGTCTTTCCTTTGAAAAAATGAAGTATACTCTAGGCTCTCAATGCTGCAATCAGATATGCGCATTTTTTACATTAGCCATTGATATTGATTAATATGTAGGTATATGTATACCATGTTTCAGTATTAATTATTTTTTAGTATTTACATAAACTAGTTTTCATAATTTAAGTGAACTAAGATGCATTCCAAAATCATGCCTTAAATTTGCAGCTTACTGTTTTTACTCTTTAATGTTTGAGCAATAGTACAAACATGGTCTTTTACCGTCCAGTTGTGTTTCAATCTTTGTACCTGATCAACTCACTCTGAAAACAATGTGTAGATAAAAAGTCAGCTCTGTTTAATCTGAATATTATTTCTATGACAGAACTTGCCATTTTTGTACCTGTTTTTTTTTTTTTTTTTTTTTTTTTTTTTTTCAAAACACCTTTGTCTATGGTGGAACTAGAAACATACGCACAGTTAGAAAAATCAAACTAGCGGCTGGATTATTGAATCTACGTCGATACAGCAAGACAAGACAAGACCCCATCATAACCATGCAATTTCTCACATTTCGACTGTTTTGTTGTATAGACGTAGAGCCAATAATTGAGTCATTAAAGGCACTTTTATTGATTCTTTTCTGTGCATGAACTCTTATCGTTTGATTTACAACTACTTATCAGGAATAGCTATATTTGTGGACCATGCCACGTTACTGAATAAGATCTAGTCTCTTGCTCATATTTACTTCTACCCTGCTTGATTTTTTCCTCCATGTAACTTGTAACTTAAATGAAAAATCTAAAATACAGTGATGCAGGTAAATAAATTTTCATTCACAAATGCCCCCAATTTGAATGATAATTTCAAACAGTTCTGAAAATTCTTTCCTGTTCCTCTTAATTTCAACTTGTCAGGACTCTTCTGTTGTTGGTAACTAATTTAATATCGAACAAAATTATACTATTCATATAATTATTGAAACTTTTGAAGTACACTAATATATGTTTAGAGATGTAATAAAAAGCTCTTATAGTCAATGGATACATCAAAGCATTATTTAAAGTGAGCTGAATAACACAATAGTGATACATTTCAACCATTAAGCACAATGTGTGTAACTTATGTCAAATTGGATACATCTGTGAAAACTTTGAGACACTGCTATAAGATAACAGATGTGCATGTATTTTCAGTTCCACCATCTGAGACACAGACATTGGATGTCTTTCTCCTGATCAACTTCATTTAACTGTTTTAAATGTTCTTTTTTTTTTTTTAAATTAGCTTTTACTTTGGAAAATAATAATTTTTAAGCACTTGTTAATTCAAATGACCACCCACAAATTTAAATTATTTTGAGCTTCCCATGTATTATGAACTTTTTTCTTTCTCTTTCCCTCCTTTTTTCTCAATTAAAATTTACCCTATTTTTAAATTATTCCTCTGATGTTTACATTTTATGCATACCTACCTACTTTTCCTTCACAGCATCTGATTTTACTGATACATTTCTTGTTTTTGCTTTTAAAAGTCTAAAATCAGTACCAACTCTAAGATACTTAAAGTTTCATTACTCAAAACATGATGTAGCCCTTAAGAAAGGGTACAACATTCAAAATGCATCAGAATAAAGACACACTAATGAGACTTTCCTTGTCTTTTTTGCATGTCAGCGGTGAGCTCTTTCTTCACTTCAAGAGCTGCAAACTGAAATTTCGAACATTTGAGCTTAATATTTGCATTCTTCAAAAAACGCTCAATGTGTGTTAATGGCATTCATATTCAATCTTTCAAAAACAGAATGCCAGAAAAGCTAACAACATGACAGAATTTGTCATTAAAACTCATCACATTATAGTCCACTTTTTAGTGGGGTCAAGGTACACACATATTTGTTTGGACAATGGGCTTCTTTACAAGGTACGAATTCAAGCACTTTGCAACATATTTTCCCTTTAAAATCTTTCGCAGAAATGAATTTACACAAGTAATGAGTTGAATGTTGTCAACTCCTAGACAAGATATAAGTATTTTAAGCATTCACAATCAACTTTATTTAAATGACAAAGTACAAATGACATCATCAGTATTATCTATCTTCCACTTGATCTACATTAAAATACTTGTGAATGTCTCGTTCAGGATTTTATTCCTAAACTTCTTGTTATGAAAATCACTTTCTATGAAAGGTTTTGAAGAAAAATAATGTGTCGTTTCTCTCCAATTTACACCTTGTCCAGTGGCCCATTGATCAGAAACCAAGGGAGTTCATGAGCTTTGCCGCAGAAAATAAGATGAGACAAAAATTTGAAAGTATGTACAGAGAATAGTTTAATTGTCATTTTAACAAATTTAAAGAAAAAATAAGAGTAAATGGCGAAATTTAAATGATTCACAGCTAAAACAACAGAACATACAGAAACTTTGATACATCACAAGCAGTAGGTAATTGAAAGTTGTAAAGATGAATTAGGAAGCTGAGGATTTTAACTGAACTAATATGAATTTTCCTGAGTTAATAGCATCCTTAAAATGAGTGGGCAGCAGAAAATATCCCCTATGCTTTTTGGCTATTTAAATCCCCGTCAGTGAAATAAAGAATTCTTATAGGAAATTAAAAACTCAATCATCCAGACATTGATAAAATAAATTTGGAAAACTGAAAATGGGTACGCTGAACTGCTGATTTTAAAATAAAAAAAGGAAAATTATGGACTATCTAAGCCTAAAATATCGCACTGGGATTCCCCTCCGCAAATATACATAAGAAAAATTACCTATCATGTTCTTATAAGCTGTATTATACATATAAAGCACAGCATCTTTTGAGGAAAATTCAGTAAAAGAGTACGTTCTTGTGTGTATAAACGCACTGAGAGCAAAATAAATTATTCAACTTTTTATAATACCTTTAAGTGTGTACAAAAGTTAAAAAATTATGTTGACAGGGGATAAAAATAGCCTTCTACAAACTCATTTTTCAAATTTCTGCGAGTTTCCCTTGACAAAGATACATTCATCACTTATGAGTGATTCAAAGAGGGCTTAACATTAAGAAAAATTCACATCTATTCAGGAGAGTTTGAGGCACAGTTCTGACAGAAAGTGACCCGACAATCTGTTAAAGCAAATCTGATCGAGTTCTTGTAACAGATTGTCGTATCAATGTCAGTGACCAACTTGCGCAATAGACTAGCACGCGTTAAAAGCCATACCTTCATCATGACATTCAAAAGACAATAAAATTTAGAAGGTATTTTTGCCCGATGGTGCTACATATTTGTTGCCTAACTTACAATCATGCACTCATATTTTTATTTCAATGAACTTGGTAGAACTTACAGACTTAACACAAAGATCACATTCATATCTTTTATAGATTTTCATTATTTTTATTACTTTTTGTCAAAATCCATTGGCTTCACAGAAACACCGTTTCATGAATTATTTCAAATCCAAACCTACTATACTTAGTGTTTGTTGAGTATAGTCGATCCTAAAATAAAAGGTTGAAAATAAGAAATGAAAATTGGTAACTTTCACTCTGAAAAAGTTGTACCATTACCTTAATAGGAAGCATTATTTGGATTCACTTCAGAAAGTGTTGCTTACAAAGTTTCTAACATAAACCATTGCAAAGAATAAACTTCGATTTTTCTACTCACAATTCAAACCACACGTGTATTAAGTATTCACCCCACTTGCTTTTAATGCGGTAAGGAGGAGGAAAAAATACAGAGAATATTTCAGTTGAGATATCTTCAGATATTTCATAACTACTCAGTAGAATTAACCTGACAACAGGAAATTTTTAATTTCAGCAACTATAAAGCATCAAACTTTAGGTTTTGATTTTACACTTTGACCCATCCGAATAAAAGCAGAGTCCTGCAATTTTGATTTTTATATGAAGTAGATAAGAAATGCACGAACTGGTGGTTTCATACATTTATCTACAGAACTATTTGACATTCTGTGCAATACGTTTGGTTTAAAAAAACTTTCATTAAAAATGCTACATTACTCAAAAGGTACCGTGTACATTGTCAGAATTTCCAATGTAAAACTTCATGCATGCATTAGTATGGATAAATGCATTTCCTGGCATCTTTTAACAAAACGTGGTATGATTCTTTCTCTAAAAGTAATGGTTTTTATGATCAAGACTACAAATTATCAAAAAATGTGGTTCTGTGGACAAAACATGCACATCTCTGAATAAGAAAAATCTGACACAACTTCAGAACAGCTTCTAAACAGCTTCAGAATTCTGAATATGGTTCCAAAAAAACCAGAAGAACTCAATTCAAGATTTAGAGACAAAAATAGTGGGGTTGATTTTACCAACATCTTAGGCAGTTTCAAATGTTGATTTGACCTTTTTCACATTCAGAGGCATTCTTACAGAAAAATGCTTTTGTGTTGTCTAAAAAGGGTATTTAACAATTTTTTGAGAATCTTTACACTATGGTCATCCTCTCAGGTCATGCTCAGCAGAAAGCAATCTAGTAGAATGCCTAATTGGCCAGAGATCTTGATTTTTTTTAAAACCATTTTATTAAAGCAGATGTCCCCAAAGAAAGGAGTAAAAATCATTGTAGATGAACAACGCTTCGCTTCTGAGAAAGCAACTATTTTTCATAAAATTTTCTTTGGAAATGGATGATCAGAAAGTAAACGCAAAGAGATTAAGCTGGAGAGATATACGATGCTACTGATGTCTTGATTGATTTGGCAGGCATCCTATTATCCCTCCAGATGAATCATTTCACCACAGCCCGATATGCAGATTTACTTTGATTAGTAACACTAAATTAACAAAGAGTATAAAATTCCTTTCACAATACCTACTTCTAATTTTTTATTATTGATAATTTTCAATTCTAAGGAGAATTTTGATACACATTTGAATGTAACCTTAAGAATTAAACCTTAACCTTCCTCAAGCATCTAAGGAGTCGATAGATGATGCTAAATCAGTCACAGATCAAAAAGCCTTCTTCCATTCATGAAGCTTCGCTAAATCGTTTTTTGGCCTGGGTCGTTTGATACATTGGTCAAAGAGATTCAAAATTCTATCTAAAAGTTTTTAAGCATCAAATAAAATTGGAGTCCATTTTGCAATAAGGAACAACTATTTCCAGCTCATTTTAGAAACAATGTATAGGTCATTAGTTTCTTTATGTAAATAGATGCTTTTATGGATGAGCCAGAAATAGTACACAATTCCTAATTGCAAAATGCTATCCAGATTTTGTAAGCACAGTATTCATTCTCCATAATGGCAGTTATTACAACAAAAATTCCCAGATTAAAGGAATTTTTTGACTTCTTGAACTTCTCGTGTTTGTGGAGCACAGCTCTTTTTAAAGAAAATTTCTTTACAAGAAAATATCGTTCGGTCCTCACTCATTCATTCCAGAGAAAGATAGAGGACTGTATAGATCGTATTCGATATATCAAGCAGGTGAGATTGTATCGATGTTGATTGGTTCAAAACATAAACATGGCCTCAAAAATCAATTGAGTAATCTGATGGAACGCGTTTTTTATGATAGATTTTTGATGCGTAAGAGTACTGATTAGCCAAAAGAAGTAAAATTGCTACGTGATTTCTCATTTTTAGCTTCTCTGACGAATATACTAACAGTTAGGTTTGAGGTTATGTTCTATTGTTTTGAACCAAATGATACATCAAACCGCTATCGAATACGATCCATTTTAATTCTATGATAAAAGAGGTCTATAACAGCAAACACCTAAAAATACAACCAAATGCTGAAGTGCTTGAATGCTCTGTGACATCATCTAACAAGTTCTTGGCAATAGATCCACCGAATAAAAATCAAAGGGCAGCTGATAAATATTAAAATATTGAGCAAGACTATGATAAAAGACACTAAAAGAAGTGACTAAAAGCTGTGATTCTTTTCTTAGTATTTCCTACTGCAAAAGAATGGAGAAGAAGCTGAAAAGGGTTTCCATTTGAATTTTGCCATCTTCGTTTTTTCAGAAGTAGCTGTTGCTCTGTGCATGAACGAGGAAAAAATGTAAAATGTCACACCAGACTTTCCTCAAACAGAAAAAAAATAAATAAAAATATATATCCTGTACATTCAAAAGTTACTTACTGTAGAGAGACCCTCATATTTTTTTTCTTTTTTTACAACTAATTCATACAAAGGGAGAAAAAGCCATACTTGACAAGCCTTATCTTACATTTCATGTATATTTTAAAAATAAGATAAGTATTTAAACTGCAAAGAAAAAGAGAAAAACTTACAAGACGTAAAAATAAACTACAAAAACAGTAACAAACATATACATTACATTAACTACAGATTGATGGTGAAACTGCAGGAACGCATGTATGTATTGATTACGGTGTTTCAAAATCGCCACTCTCATTCTATTTGACAAAAGGAGAACAATCCAATTTTATTGCTTGAAATTTTCAAGGATTATTCTCCACATAAAGATGAAATCAGAGACATTTTTAAGAAATGACGTTGAGTTTTTATATGGTTAAAAAATAAAGCATGACAGGAAGTCTGCAACGTAAACCGAGATACTTGTTCCGGCATTTTCACCATCAAAATACAAGAACATTTTCAAACTGAGACTGACGACTTAAACTTAATGTATGTATTCAGTCATCATGTTTTATCACTCCTACAAAGTGATTAACTTACTTTCCTCCTTTCTTAAAATATAAAGATAATTTTTGCAATCGAAATGCAGGCAAGTGTAAATTCGAAAAGACATTTCCTGCAACAGAGGATTCAATATTTATCCTCTTGGCAGCAGTCTTTTTCTCTGTTTATGGAATCACCATTGAGGCACAGAGGCAACTCTTCACCCCAGAAGATGAATGAATGTGTTTTATGTTTTAATTTTTGACGACTGTTTAACAGGACAAACACGAATTTTTATCGATTTGATCAATTTTTATCAATTTGTTTCCTTTCACATGTGCCTGATACAATAATGACTTGACAAACAGAGCTTCACGCCATTGTCAGAGGAAGAAGAAGAGGACCTTGGAGGTGAATCTAAAACTAAATTGAGGTAATCAATGACCGAGAAGTAGCGACCAGTATAATCTGTAGAATCAAACAACAGTCGACTCTTGTTAGCTGTTTGGTACTTAAAGGTTGGTATCAGTCGAATTCCATTGTAAACAGAGAAAAACATTTGATTGCAAAAAATTACTCACCATCACCTAATAGTTCAAGAGATTTTATCTATTCCATACAGCAAAAACATCTTGTAGCTAGTGTTTTGTTAGAGTTATCATTACAATATTTTGTGGCAAGAACTGTCAGGAGGGATTGTAAGGAGCCTTTTGGGCAATTGAATTGACAAGGATATGCTTGTTATGAATAATCAAGAAAACAAATTTATTCCATTGATAGACAATCCAAACCACTATATAAAGCAAGGAGAAAAAAATAAACATATCTCGCAGTATCCTTGAGTTCGGAAAAATCTTAAAGGGCTGCCTTTACAGCCTTTTGCAATGAAAAGTATTTTTCTTTCCTTAAATAGCCCGGAAGATAAATTAATTTCGAAAAACTGCTGTATTGAGAGATGAAACATTATAGACATGCTTCACTACTGTGACTTCTGATCTAAGTTTCATTTGGTGCTCTTCCACACCATTTGTTTCAAAAAGCGTACATTAAAATGGACGTTTAATAGTTTTGAGCTATCACATTATATTCTAATTTTGTTGATTGAGCATATTTTTTTTAACAGCGACTTGACACAATACTTCATTCAAAAGGTCGTTCTTGAGAAGAAGTGGGTAAGTAAATGCGATCAATAAAATCGGTAGCTAAATCCAGAAAACTCACACACTTTTGCGAGGAAACTTCCAGTGGTAGAGGAAATCAAATACAGAAATGATATGACATTTTGTGACTAAAGACTCTTAAATATGAGGTATACTAATGTCTACTTTTATGAGGATTGACTCTCATTACACTGTTTTGCCAAGCAATATTTTTACGGACAGAGAATTTGGATTTTCAATCCCCTTTAGGAACATTGTAATGAGAGTCAACTATATTGGTGAACATCATGCATCATGCATACATTCAGAGTGACACAATGAACTTTGGGACAAATAAAATTTTTCAAATTTTGCAGTAACTTATGGAGGGGATTAACAGAGAGCAACTTTAAACAGAAAAATATTACTAGGACTCTCAGACAACTAGCCGTACAAAAAGAATAAAAATTAATGCCCTCCTAACTACATCATAAAATGTTCATGGATCAACCATGATTTGACTTGCAGGGGTAGGTCACAATGGGTCCGCCTCGAATTCTGATGTTTGTAAAAAAATTCAAGAATCACCAAGATGGATATTGAACCCTTTGCTATCCAAATGCAAATGCATTTTAGAGGCTCTGTGCGTAGGCTACTACACTAACAGCCGTTTACGCTGAAGCAGCCAGATCGATATCGAGGCATAATCAGCATAATCGATCAGTGTATCACGCAGTACTGTTTTCTTCAGTTATAAAACCCTCTGGGCCACTTTCCAAAGGCTCATGACAAAAATACTAAAACATCAATTTCAATTTTACAAAGGCTGAGACAAAATCTGAGACAAAAACCATCAAAATTAGAGGCAGATTCATTGTGACTTCTCTTACTGAGTTTAACTTGTCGGACTTACATTATTATCATTGCTTTTAAAAAAGGAAGAAGACTGATTCTTGGAACTAGATGAGGTTCTAAAAATGTTTTTCCAAGGTCAAATAGTGTAAAACAAAAAAAGAGAATAAAAAAAGAAGAAAATCATGAGTTCATTTCTTAGAAATACCATTATAATACAAAAGGAACGAGCATCCTTATGAAAGTCAGTCAAGTTTAGAATCAATTAAGATTTCATAGAAAATATTCTGTACACTTACATATAAGTTGAAGCCAAAAAATCTAATTAAGATGGATTTTCAGGTTCTGGCATACTTCCGTACTTACGACTCTGCGGAGGAGGCCAACTTGAGGTAGAGCTATCCTGATCACTGAAGTCTTGCGTTCGGTTGATTGCAGAAAGTATTGCTTCTCGCAACCTTTCTCGGAATGTCTTATACTCCATATCACTTGCATGCGAAAAGTCAAAATCTGCAACTTCAATTTGATACCTGAAACAATCAAAAAATTAAATCAACAAAGCTCTCAAATGCAGGCAAGGATTGTTCAGAGGTCACTTTACATTTAGACTCATTATGGTCGAAACAATCGAAAAATTAAGTCAACAAAACCATTAAATGCAGCCTCTGATTATTCAGACGTCACTTTACATTTGGACTCATTGCGGTTGAGACCATGGGTTGTCACTTCATATTGTAGGAAAAGAACAGTTTGAGTCAAAATCCACTCAGCGCGAAGAGGAGATGTCTTATATGTCGCTAGATGAACAAGTAGCAAAAGCTACCTGCTGAGGGGGCGCCGCCCCCCCAGACCCCCCCTTTCAAATTATATATGTGAGACTTTGAGTATCATAGAAGTCGTGCGGCGACATGCCGAATGAAATGCCACAATTAAAATTATTGGATCAGATGATGAGCTAATAAAAGCCTTACCCAGTAATTTGGGAACATTTCTGACACAGTTTGGTTGCTTTAACTATCACTTTGATTTGCGAAATACAAATCGTTTTCACTTCGTATGTAGTTAAATTTGATTTTGACTGACTTAGTTTCTGATGGATTCAAATTCATAATATACATTTAGGTTCTAGGGAAAGAAAAATGCAGATGAGCTACACTTCACATGAATATAGATTGATTAAAAATAAATAATCCGAAGAAGTGATGGAATAATTGATAATTGTTTACTACAGTAAATACTAAACCTAGGATTCATAGGAATTTTAAATAAAATCCCACCCATCACTAAAATAACCCATATGTATGTACTCGTGGTGCCTGCTCTCGGCTCGATTTCGCCTAATGGAATTCTTTATCATCGCGGTTGTCCTTGTTGCGTGCGGGAGGAAATGAAGGCGCGCTCGCAGTAGCAAGAAGCAGACGCGCCAGGTTGCTTGCGACGCGTGAATGTAGCTTAACCTCCACAGA